TCGTGACAAATGTGGTGTGAAATGTGACAAACTACCCATAATTTTGTATGAAGATAATGCAGCATGCATAGCTCAATTGAAGGGAGGATTCATAAAAGGAGATAGGACAAAGCACATTTCACCAAAGTTATTTTTCACACATGATCTTCAAAAGAATGGTGATATTAATGTGCAACAGATTCGTTCAAGTGATAATATGGCTGATTTGTTCACAAAATCTCTACCAACGTCAACCTTCAAGAAGCTAGTGTACAAGATCGGGATGCGAAGGCTCAAGGATGTGAATGGATGCTCTCATCAGGGGGAGTTAATGCGCGCTGCACTCTTTTTCCCTTACAAGGTTTTGTCCCACTGGGTTTTCCTTGCAAGGTTTTTAACGAGGCGACCAATAGGCGCATTTCTAAACATGTGTACTCTTTTTCCTTTTCTAGAATTTTTTTCCCATTGGGTTTTCTTTTAGTTAAGGTTTTAACGAGGCACATTATCTGTTGAATAGACATTCAAGGGGAGTGTTATAAATAGAATTCTATTTATGGTGAATGTCCATATTTAGAGAGATTCTAGGGTTTATTACATGGTGGCTAAGTCAACATCTCCCTATAAATAGAGGGTTCTATTCCATTGTAATTCATCCTAAATTCAATAAAAATTTCCCCTCTCTCTTTCTCTACAATATTGTTCTTCTTCTTTTATTATTTTATAACACTTCTTGCGTTTTTAGATCTTCAAAATATTTGACACCATTCTATTTCTATTCAACTTTCACAAACGTAAATAATTTAAATTCATTAACTTATTTACAATTTAACTATATGATGTGACACATTTCTCTCTTTTCTACTGCTACTTTCTTTTAACATCACTGGTACATACTAAAAGGTAAATTAACATCTTAAATTTCATACTAAATTTACGGTTAGTAACATATAAATTTCATACGACATATAATAAAATGTAGGGGTAGTAACAACTAATTTTAACCCCCAAAAAAAAAAATACTTTAGTGGCCATACACATATATATAAAGTTGTTATAAAACTTAGCATCCAATGATTAAGGATACAAAAGAGCAATTTTGAAAACTATATAGATTATCATTAGAAACCTTTGCCCTTGCCCCCCAAAAAGAAAAATTTAGCTGTAATCAAACCACAAAAGAGTATATAAAAGTAAGTGTGACGGGTGATCTCTTGAATTATTCATAAGCATGACCAATTAACCTACCAAAATAATAATTTGTTACTAATAAGATCTCAAGATGTTATTTTCTTCCTATCTCCTTTTAGCAGTCAAAACGGAGGAGAAACTATGCTTCAGCTTTTGCTTATGCTGTAAATACACTTGCCACAGGGTGTAAATGTCAGGGACATAAATAGTTGAATTGCTTTTACATTACAAGGCTACCTGCTCAAAGCATCCCGAATTCTTACATTACAAACTTACATAATACATAACATGATGAATTAGTTGAAGTTCAAGAATGAACAACTACTAATTTAGACTGGGCCAGGCTCCCTTGTATCAGTTACGGGCCAAGTGACAACAACGACATGGGCTAGTTCAGTCTCGGCTTGCATGCAGCTGGACTAATCCACAAATAGCAGCCCATCTGTCACAACCCAAAATCCACTAAGGATCGTGATGGCGCCAGACACCGCTGTCAGGCAAGCCAACCAAAATTCTTAATTAAATTCTTGTTTTAAATATTTCCGAAACCACTTCTTTTATACGTTTAAACAATACATGATAAATTCCATTGAATAAATAATGAAACATTTAACAACTTTTTAAAGTTTCTGAATAAACCCATAGACATCCCCAGAACCCGGTGTCACAAATGCATGAGCTATTTCTAAGAAACAACACAATACAACATCCGTCCGGAATACAAATGGACAGAAAGTACATACCATATACTGAAAGGGACTACACTAGCTGCGGGTCGCCTTGAGTACTGCAGCTCACCTAGTCTCAATATCATCAATGCTGCTACGCCCAGTAGGCCACTAAAAGTACATGTGCTTGTGCAACAAAAATACACAACAAGTGTAGTATGAGTACGAAAACAACGTGTACTCAGTAAGTATCCCGCCTAATCTCGAAGAAGTACAGACGAGATGGCAACTCCGACACTTACTAAAGGTCCAGTAATAGTATTATTAATGCAATAACTCACGGATTTATTAAGAACAACAGTAGGTTCAAATGAATCTCTAAACAGGTGAAAGTTCCTTTTTATTTTAAGTCTCCGGATTCATAATCCATTAATTAACAACTATCTCAAGTCGGAGAGCAGATAGCAATATCAATAAATCTCAAGGCAAGCAATACAAGCATGCGCAACTCATGTCGAGGTCGCACGGCCCGATCCAACATAAATGTAAAATGTGCATTGCCGAGGGTCGAGCGGCACGAACCATAGATGCATCTATTACCCCGCTCGCGAATCACCCATGCGACGCGGTCAAATTCAAATAAACAATCACCCTGCTCGCGTATCATACATGCGACGCGGGAACACACAGAAATACATGCTCAAACAGCAAATTAAGAGTTTATCGGGGAACATTTATCAAAACAAAAGCCAAATTCTCTTTTAACGATTTGAGAAAATGAGGTTTAATCCTTTTTAGAAATTCATTTACCAATTCGATAGGATTTCAGCAATTCATACTGTCAATAACATTACAAGTATTCCAAGTACAGCATGCTTTTGGGTCCTAGACTACCCGGACAATAACATAATAGTAGCTACGCACGAACTCTCGTCACCTCGTGCGTACGTAGCCCCCCGCAAATAGGAGCACATAACCAATTAATTCACCTATGGGGACAATTCCCTCTTACAAGGTTAGAAAGGAGACTCACCTCGCTCCGAAGATCCATAACCGGCCTTCCACGCCCTTCCGAAAACTCAAATTGATGCACAACGCTCCAAAACTTATCGTTGATGATGAAAAATCCCACTTGAAGCTCTCCCAAAATCGCCCAAGCCAAGAAAATATGAGAGAAAATGGACAAATCCCGATTTTTAAAACACATCTCTGCCTCCAACACTTTCCACACCTGCGGTCCCTTGACTGCTTCTGCGGTTCCGCAGGTGCGAGGCAAACCACCGCTTCTGCGGTTTCCTCCAGGCTCCCCTTTTTCGCTTCTGGGCTTCTGTTCCGGCAGATGCGGTCCCGCTTCTGCGGCCAAACGACCTCATCTGCGGTCCCAGCTCTCTTTTTCCAAAACCACATCTACGACTATTGGGCCGCTTCTGCGGCTCCGCACCTGCGGCCCTATTCTCGCAGGTGCGGTTACACCAGCAACCAACAACTTCAGCCTTCCAAAAAATTCTATTTCCGATCCGTTAACCACCCGAAATCCACCCGAGGCCCCGGGGACCCCAACTAATCATACCAACCAGTCCCAAAACACATTACGGACTTGCTTGAGGCCTCAAATCATATCAAACAACGCTAAAACTACGAATCGACCTCCAATCCAAGCTTTATGAACTTTAAAATTTCAAACTTCTACTTCCGGTGTTTAAACCTATCAAATCACGTCCGATTGACTTCAAATTTTGCGCACAAGTCATATTCGATATTACGGACCTACTCCAACTTTCGGAATCAAATTCCGACCCTGATATCAAAAAGTCCACCTCCGGTCAAACCTCTCAAAAACCTTCAAATTTCTATCCTTAGCCAAATGGCTCCAAAATGCTCCCCGGACATCCGAATTCACTTCCGATCGCGCTCCCAACTCCAGAATCACCATACGGAGCTAATACCAGACTCTGAATCCCAAACGGACATCAATAACACTGAAATGTACTTCAACCCAAACTTATGAAATTTTCTCCAAAATGCTAACTTCCACAATAAGCGCCAAAATGCTCCCGGTTCATCCAAAACCCGGTCTGGGCATACGACCAAGTCCGAAATCATTATACGAAGCTACTGGAACCTTCAGCTCCCGATTTCGAGGTCGTTTACTCTGAGATCCCATCCTAGTCAATTTCCTCAACTTAAGCTTCCGAAATGAGAATTTTCTCTCCAAGTCAACTCCGAACTTCCCAAAATTTAATTCCGACCATGCGTACAAGTCATAATGCCTGAGTTGAAGCTGCTCATGGCCTCGAACGGCTGAACGGCGCGCTAGGGCTCAAAACGACCGGTCGGGTCGTTACATCCTCTCTCGCTTAAACATACGTTCGTCCTCGAACGTGCTAGGAACTGTGCTGGGGTTGCCTGGAATCACTGCTTAATACCTCGTGCACCTACCCCATGCTACCACAACTCAGTTGGGCACATCAGCTCGATTAAGTCTAAAGATAACCTCTTTCATTTAGGCAAATAAGCCTTGGAGCCCAGTTTCATCACCCGAAATTCTCTGCCATGCATGTTCCAACATACGCTCACCGTATCAATAACTACACGCAGCACCAAAACATGACTGCATACCTTAGCTGAATTCACACCTTGCACCACTTTACTCACAGGACCACAATAACATTCTCTAGTCGAACAAATCGAAATTCCACAAATCTGATGCTCCCATTGCACCTCATGACCTACCTAGGTCCTGCTCTAACCCTTACAATACCGCCACGACGGAAGAGATGTGTAGGAATTCATAACCAACAGCCGAATCAACGATTCATAGGGTCTATACCCTGCCAAGAACCATCACCTCTTTCTGAACCAAATAATGGCCTTTACTCTTTAATATACTTCACATATTCAGATTGCGCTGATCCTAAGTCCAATGATCTCGTCTCACCCAGTACGAACTGCTCAGGCAATAGCCATCCCCGGACATGGTCAAAAGTCTCATATGATACCACAATGTGCCAATAGGCTACCAATTCGAACGCGATACAACCCTACCACGTAACTAAAAATAGCCGGTGAATGTATAATACATGTATATTTTATGTATTATATGTGTATAATTATGTATAATAATGTATAATCTATGTATATGGCTAGAAAAAATATACATTTAATATGGCTGGCTATTTGTGTAAAAATCCCAAAATAAGCCAAACATAGACTGGGCCAGGCTACCTCGTTATTACGGGCTATGTGACAACAGCTTAGCCCAAGAAGCCTGTTGCTTCCAAGTTAGGCCCAAGACATATTTTTCAATAATTTTTCCGCCATTTTCAAAAAGTTCGTATAAAGCCCTAAAAAGACAACATTTCAGTTCAAAATACACGCAGAAATCGTAGATTAACGCATCAATTTTATCAGCGGAAAAGGTTGATTTCTCTTCCGAAACATTAATTTTTATTAGTTTACAGTCAAGAGTGTTCTCAATTTTCATTTCAGTTTTGAATTTACGAATTCCCTTTTTGTGGACTCACTTTTTTTTATGGTCTTGAAATTGCAGAGAGCGAGCCAATGAAAGTCAAGATTTTGCGTATCCTTTTGTGATTATTTCACTGATTTGTGATGTTTAAATGAAGACGGCGGAATAGTTGTTGCTTTCATAGGAGCAGATAATAAAGTGCAGTGAATTATAGCAACTGTTACTGAATCATTTCTGATATGAAAACACATTTTCTGTCTAAATATGTAATTAGCGATTAAATGTGGCTTATCTTATGATCTTGGGATTTTAATATTATTAATTTCTGAATCTTTTGGAGAATGTGTAGCCATTGAACTGCTTAGGGATTACAAAGAAGCATTTTTACTAGTCCTTTGGTTTTTTGCTCTGAAAATCTACTTTAGTTTATATTCTGTCCAATAGTTCACATTTTTTATCTGGTGTATAGGTGCATATCCTGATTTTCTTAAGTAAATTGAGGGTAGCTTTATATTGCGAGTAGATTAGATGCTTTGGCACAAGGACTGTACATAACTTTGTTGTAACTGTATATAACTTAAATCCGTATTTAGTGATTGTGGAAGAAATGTCAAAGTGAGGTTGAAAGTTAGTTTGATAAGTAAATCACAGTGTAAATTTTTGTATAATCAATTGAATTTGAATTCTTAAAATTTAGAATAGGAATCATAAGAATCTGAAGAATCATCAAAATGGGAAGTAGACTAGTCGAGTTTGCTAGTGTAGAGTGTAGACTATAAGAGATTATTACAGCATAGCTAGAAGTTCAACTTCCGTTGCGCTTCCCCTATTCAGTCTGCTTGGAATGCAAAGACCTGTACAATTTTAACTTTAGTTATGAATGAAGTTATGAAGACAGGAAAATAGAATTTAAACATCTGAAAATGCAGATACAAAGTTAGCCCAATAGAACTTGTCATCGATCACTTCAGATAGCAACTTTGATTTCTTGCTTATTTACAGATTTACATTTCCAAAAAATAAAAATCACCTTTGCCTTTCTTGTTATATACTCTGCAAGATTACACTATTGGAGCCATTCTGGTATAGTAGATTTATATTGATTGGTGGTCAGGACTGAATACTAACATGAAATTTCCCTTAACCTTTTCTGTTGGGCGATTTGCCGGGTTCGTGAATAGAGTATGTCCTCTTCATGGCATGTGATAATTTTCGTACTTAAGACAGCATGGTGTGCTTACTTGTTACTTGTGTATGCAGATGGCATGCAGTTGCTTCGTGGACATGGGACGCTCAGGATGAAACTTGTGGAATATGTAGGATGGCTTTTGATGGTTGTTGTCCTGATTGCAAACTCCCCGGTGATGATTGTCCACTAAGTAAGCCTGTTTATCTCTACTTGATACTTTCCTCAGTCATTTAAGCTACTGAATTACCATTCTCGTGTTAACATGGTATATCTGCATATCCAGCGAGTTACCCCAATTCTAATTTTGTACATAGATAGAAGGTTCTGTTTTGTAGATTGCATATTTGTAGTGCCTTATTTGTCTGCACATTATCAAAAGCCCTACTGGATGACATAATTCGTTATAGTTCATTTGATTTGGTGTAAGACTTTGGAGGTTATATTGTAAAGGCGAATGAATTTTACCTATAAAAAAGGTGGATGAGCTGTATAAGATGTTGTCTTCCTTGTATTCATTTCACTGTCAAGCTCGGATTGTTCTATTTAGTAATTGTTAGGATTTGTGTTTCTCTTTGTGATGACTTGGTTCCCAAGGTCTTTTATTTGTGTTGGCACATTTTATGTTCTAATCTATACCTGTTGTGTGGTACTAGCTTTTGAAGGGCACTAAGAGAGTAGAGGCGGATCCAGGATTTGAAGTTTATGGGTTCCTATTGTAATCTCAAATTAATATACAATAATAACCGGGTTCACAGTTATATATTTATAGATATTTAATGGTTTTTTTAATAAAAATACAGGGTCTTCGCAAAAGTTACTGGGTTCCCGGGAACCCGGTAACTATACTCTACATCCGCCACTGTAAGAGAGACATAGATTTTTTGAAAGCGATGGCCTAGAGTTAGAAGAAATGGAGTTACAACGTTGGAATAAAGGTCTGAATCTCGACAGAAGCATGTCACGTGAATTCCTCCCATCTCCCTAAAACTTGATGGGTACATGGTACCTAACTGGTGGGAGGAAACAGATATTTGTAGATAAGTCGAGCTGCACGCAAGCCGACTCGAAAACCACGTTTCTTTTCTCTTCACATGTCATGATCTTTCTGGTGCTTTATCTTCTCTTCCCTTCCATTCCTACGCAAGTTCTTCACAGTAGCCTTAATAAGAATAACACAAAAAAAAATGGAATAACAAAGGATAGAAAAGTGATATATGTCATCTCAGTATCCTCTAGCTGTTATTTCTATCTATCTAGTCACCAGGTTATAAACACAAGAACAAGTAGAAGTTCTGTCCTGAAGTAATCTCCTCACTGTGGGCAATCTCTTCTAGAGTTTAGGCACTTAATTCGTACTATATGTAGACTGCTACTCGACGAGCCGATTAAGTTATCCGTTTGATACTTCAAGGGATATTATGAACACTCCCATGCTACTACTTAACATTGCAAATATTATCAGTTTGCCAACATACTCTCTGCAAATTGTTGGTAGTCCATTTGGTCAGTAGCTATTAGTACTGATTCATATGTTTTTATTATTCATATAGTGAAACTACTGCAGTCTGCAGATACAAGTAGGCTTCAGGATTCTTCTGTAATTTTTTTCTTAGTTTAAGTGAAACGTCTATCGGCTTATATCATGAAAGATGGAGATATTACAGCTAGATGGGAAAAAACGGTCCGCTAGATATGTTAGCAGAGCTGTCTTTTTATTAGTTTCATCGATTAAGGCCATGAGTGCAATTAGATTTTGACATTCTTGTCTATTTATTTATTTTCTGGAATGAGCCCCCCTACGCTCCTCCACTCTGTGCATTTTTATGTATATTCATTATGAGTACATTATTTAATATGCATGAAAAATATGTCCATTTACGGATGCATGATTTGTCTCTTTTTAATTAGCTAAAAACAGTAAATGTCGTTACATATTTTTTTTGTTGAAACATCAAGTTGTTGTAGCCCTTAGCCTCACATTCTCCTCCCTCTTCTCCTAGACATACTATAGCTTTCTCTCAATCTCTAACTTTAACAGAGGATAAACAAATCATGCTGGCATGTCGAGGTTGAGGATAGGGTAACCAACACATTGCTGTTACTTCAGAAATTCGTAGAGCAGTTTGATTCATGACCTGTAACGATCTCTCGGTTCAACTTAAGTTTTAGTTTTTTAACCAGCTATTGAGATCCAAATAACATTGGTTGTTCCTTTTAGAGGTGGTTTAGAGCAATCATAAACGTAGTTGTTCATCTATCATTTATCAGTGCAACTGTATAGTTCACATTATAGAACATTTGATTTTTGCATTATGGTTAGAGTTAATTATCTTTCTGTGGATGGTATCGACGGAGCAAAATCCGGAAACAGCCTCTCTACCCCTAGGGGTAAAGTCTGCGTACACTCTACCGTCCCCAGACCCCACGGGTGGAATTCTACTAGGCTGTTGTTGTTGTTGTTGGGTGGTATCGACATGACCTCTCTGGAGTCTCCCTCTTTTAAGGCTATTATTAATGCTTTGAAATTTACTTGTCTTTGCAGTATGGGGTGCTTGCAACCATGCATTTCATCTTCATTGTATCTTGAAGTGGGTGAATTCTCAATCGGCTCAAGCACATTGCCCTATGTGTCGTCGTGAATGGCAGTTTAAAGAATGAAAAAATATTATGTGCATCTTTTGCTCATGAATGAAGGAACGAATCATAACTCTGCTTCATTCCTCTTGGTAAGGGGTAAAAGCGCCTGTTTCTTGATTGTATTTTGAGTTGGTGTCTATATGTGTGTGATACTAGGATATTGTAGCAAGCATAGCTGATAGCTGTGTTGATATGTGCTCATCCCCATATACAATTATTAGTTTAAGGCCAAAAATAGGTAGCGTGTCTGTATCAGCATCGGAAGGTGGTGCAGATGTTGTATGAGCCATCCATCCTGAGTCTTCAATACATCAATGTCCAACCATTGATTGAGAAGAAAAGGACATACTGGACGCTGGGCTGCCTGTCATTATTAGTCAGGCTGCCTTTACAACAGTGTCCTCTCCTCCATATCTGCCCACATGAAATTTGAAAACAAGTATTAATGGACTCTTAACATATTAGTGCCTTTTGACAGCCCTTTGTCCATGACCCTGAGCTATCAGGCACATATAGGCATGGACCGTGACATAGTTGGCGTAGGGACAGCATTTCGTTATCATCTCCGTTGTATTATGTTTTTGAATTGAAAATATCTTGAGGTGTTTGGGAATATGATTTCCAGATTCTGGTATTTCCTCTTTCCATGTTATTCCCATTTTAAATCTGTCTGTAACATTCCGTTCATGTTCATTGTGGTTTTGAAAATTTTCCTTGTAATCATGGATATTTCATTTGATTTGCATGTAGAATGACGCTTTTTAACCTGTGTTTGAGATGTTTTAGTGGGGGTGATAGCTTTAATTCTGTTCTGACTACGGGATTTAGTTTTTGTTCAGATCGATTGTCCCAAACTCCATTATATCATTTTTTTTTATTTGAAATAGAATACTGTACATTAGATAGAGGAAATTACTTGTTTGAGAGTCTTATTTGCTTCTATATTTCTTCTGGCCAGTCACCAATTTCCAAATAGTCACCAGTTCTCGAAATTGCGTTTGTATGCTTAAAGATGAAGAAAATATACCTAAATTAGAGACACTTGCCGACAAATACTAGTAAATTTGCCGACTTGGATGCGTAAGTTGGCTGAACGTAAAGAATTTAGTCATAGTCAGGGCTTTATTAATGTTATCCTAGAAAAGCACCACTATTGTCATTTACTGCTTTGGCCTTTGATGATGATTGTGATTTGTGAGTGTACTTTGTCCCCATTTTTCTTTTTTTTTCTAAAAAGTGAATATTTGTGACCCCATTACAATATCAAGTTGATAATTATAGAAGGTTTGTGGATTAAATTGGACACGTCTATTGAATTACTATACCTACCAAAACTACCGCACTTACCCTACATGCCAGCTGTGGCACAAAAAACATAAGCCACATGTTTATCATAGTATAATGTAGTAGTAGCAATTATTTGTATATCCAATTAAAATGCAATGGAAGTTACATTACAATCCCAAATGTAATGAAGACATTGAATCAGGATAAATATCTTCATCAACAATCTATCCAAATATCTCTATTGAAACACACACACGAGAAGAATAACCAAATAAAAACAAAAACAGAGGGGGTAAACTTAGAAGAAACAACATCCAAGAATAAATAAAGCAGAAGCTAGATACTCCATTAGCGGATATGAAGATATTTACTAATGGCCTTCAAATATCCTGTCAAACAAAGTAAAAAGAAAAGGAATTAGATACTATTCTTTCTATATACTAGTAATATATTGTATGAACTTTAGAATATCTTCTCAGCAAACTGATAGAATCTTCAAGCCGTTGGATCTTAGAGCCCGTTTGGACATAAGAAAATTTTTCTTTTTTTTTTTTCTTTTTTTGAAAAAGATGGTGTTTGGCTATCAAAATCTTATAATTTTTCCAATCTCACTTGAAAATGCATTTTCAAATTTGAAAAACTGGTTTTTTCAATTAAAAATGAGAAGGTTGCTAGTTTTTAATTGCAAAGTATGGAAAAAGAGACCAAATATGTTGCTGAAATTCCAAATTTTGATTTTTTTTTTTTTTTGGAATTCATGTCCAAACGCCTACTTAGTTGAATAAAGCTTGTACCCTTT